CAGCCCCAGGACAAAGCTACAGTATGGTAGGGTTGACAATATCTAGATTATACTGAGTCCCAGGACAAAGCTACAGTGTGGTAGGGTTGACAATATCTAGATTATACTGAGTGCCAGGACAAAGCTACAGTGTGGTAGAGTTGACAATATCTAGATTGTACTGACAGCCCCAGGACAAAGCTACAGTGTAGTAGGGTTGACAATATCTAGATTATACTGACAGTCCCAGGACAAAGCTACAGTGTGGTAGGGTTGACAATATCTAGATTATACTGACAGTCCAAGGACAAAGCTACAGTGTAGTAGGGTTGACAATATCTAGATTATACTGACAGTCCCAGGACAAAGCTACAGTGTAGTAGGGTTGACAATATCTAGATTATACTGACAGCCCCAGGACAAAGCTACAGTGTGGTAGGGTTGACAATATCTAGATTATACTGACAGTCCCAGGACAAAGCTACAGTGTAGTAGGGTTGACAATATCTAGATTATACTGACAGTCCAAGGACAAAGCTACAGTGTAGTAGGGTTGACAATATCTAGATTATACTGACAGTACCAGGACAAAGCTACAGTGTGGTAGGGTTGACAATATCTAGATTATACTGACAGTACCAGGACAAAGCTACAGTATGGTAGGGTTGACAATATCTAGATTATACTGAGTCCCAGGACAAAGCTACAGTGTGGTAGGGTTGACAATATCTAGATTATACTGAGTGCCAGGACAAAGCTACAGTGTGGTAGAGTTGACAATATCTAGATTGTACTGACAGCCCCAGGACAAAGCTACAGTGTGGTAGGGTTGACAATATCTAGATTATACTGACAGTCCCAGGACAAAGCTACAGTGTGGTAGGGTTGACAATATCTAGATTATACTGACAGTCCAAGGACAAAGCTACAGTGTAGTAGGGTTGACAATATCTAGATTATACTGACAGTCCCAGGACAAAGCTACAGTGTAGTAGGGTTGACAATATCTAGATTATACTGACAGCCCCAGGACAAAGCTACAGTGTGGTAGGGTTGACAATATCTAGATTATACTGACAGTCCCAGGACAAAGCTACAGTGTAGTAGGGTTGACAATATCTAGATTATACTGACAGTCCAAGGACAAAGCTACAGTGTAGTAGGGTTGACAATATCTAGATTATACTGACAGTACCAGGACAAAGCTACAGTGTGGTAGGGTTGACAATATCTAGATTATACTGACAGTACCAGGACAAAGCTACAGTGTGGTAGGGTTGACAATATCTAGATTATACTGACAGTCCCAGGACAAAGCTACAAAATCAGAAGTTAAATCTGTCATTAAATTAGATGGCCAATTCAAGCTCAACTCCTCCTGTTTTTGTCTGTGCTACATGTTGGAATTTTTATCATATTTGATGTGAAATATGATCTCTGTGATCTCATTGATATTTTTTGTCTCGATTTGTACAATGGTGACACTGTACCACTTATTGATTTCAATTATCCACTGATCAGTTTAATTCTGAAGTAAATAGTGATAGAGCCTATAAATCTGCGTAACAGATTGGAATGCTAGTGTGTTTGGCATACAGAAATATTGTATTGATATTTTTTTAATAAATACATCAGTTATACATTCATCTGTCAGAGCAATATTTTTCTGGAAACAGGTTTTCAGGCGGGCTTACATATCTCATGTCTCACAGTAAAAGTGATTTATTGTATCGGGTATGTACTAGCTTTACCCTAAAACACCTTTTGCCTCGTGTATATCTCCCAGGTGCATAATCTGCTATTTTCCCTACATATGTCACATTATTAAGAAGATTAGCATAGATTTCTGTTTGAAAATTTGAGTTCCCTCTACTTTACAGAAATTTCATACTTTGCTTTTTTTCTGAATGTACTTGTTTTAAAATGTTTTTCTAATGGTCAAGGTTAAATATCCAGATCACCACAAAATAAATTTTAATTCACAACAGGTTTATACAATGCCCTGAATCCAGTCTTGTGTAGATCAGACCATATACTAGCTACAGAGATTGTATCTCTAGCTTGAGCGGTTCAGCATCCTGGGTTCAAATCCTAGCGGTTCAGCATCCTGGGATCAAATCCTAGCGGTTCAGCATCCTGGGTTCAAATCCTAGCGGTTCAGCATCCTGGGATCAAATCCTAGCGGTTCAGCATCCTGGGATCAAATCCTAGCGGTTCAGCATCCTGGGTTCAAATCCTAGCGGTTCAGCATCCTGGGATCAAATCCTAGCGGTTCAGCATCCTGGGTTCAAATCCTAGCGGTTCAGCATCCTGGGTTCAAATCCTAGTGGGACGCATTGAAAACATAAAGAATGTTTCCTTAACAGTTAATCATTTTTTGTACATATGAATGAGTTGATTAAAAGAATACCCACAAAAACCATGAAAATAAGTGGCCCACAAACAGTGATAGCAACCTTCTCAGTCCACATCTCTATAGAGGACATATACCTCCCATACATCTGGCCCCAGCTGCTCATAACAATATCAATCTGACCAGTCTCAACATGTCTTTAGCTGTGCCCCCAATTGTGGTGAATACATATTTGAAAATGTTCAGTAACCACTGGTTACAAAGCTTTGAGGCACTGGGGCGAGGAGACCATTTGTAAATGACCATATCAGTTCTTAGGATTATTTAACATGAAGTCAAACCAGACCCTCGATCAGCATATATTGCAGGATAAGATAGCTATTTATTTGCCCTACATGTGATGGTCTACAAATTAAAGGGCTTGTATGTACAGCTACCAATAACTGAGCTGCCAGTAATTGAAAATCGTTTGCAGAAACTCACAATATTGGTCAGAAATCTCATTCTGGTTAGGCACAATGACAAGTATTGGTTCCATATGATATTAGACCTGCACTGTCTGTAGAAAGTAGTTGTATAGAATGATTGTGTTACGTAAATGCACTAGACCTGTTCTGAAGCTGCAGGCTACATAATATAGACCATAACTATAGGACAATGAGATCACAGGGGTTGGAGTTGAATCATCACATGGGTATTATGGCCTCAAGCCTTTGTAATCTTGAATTCAACATCAAAGCATAATAGTTAAAACTCAACATGTTGAGAACAGTTGTCCTTATGGCTTCATCTAAAGACTAATGCTATCATTGTACATGTTGTTGAACAAATCTCACAAAGGGATGATACAACAGCATAATTGAAGAGTTGCTCGTTTTGATGTTGTGTAGTATTTTTGATGTGTAGCAGATGATGTGTAATCAGTTGTAAATGTTTGGCTTATTCAGCAGATAGGACCTCCTACCACTACAGTTGATACATACTGCACTGTGGTAAACATTCTAAAAAAAACACTTAGTTCAGCCAACACTTTAAGTCTTGTTGTTCTACTGTGTAATCTGTAGTTAAATCTGGTTGTGCCACTATCTAGTCACCACTTCAGGTTGGGCCACTATCTAGTCACCAGTTCTCGTTGTGCCACTATCTAATCACCACTTCTGGTTGTGCCACTATCTATTCACCACTTCTGGTTGTGCCACTATCTAGTCACCACTTCTGGTTGTGCCACTATCTAGTCACCAGTTCTTGTTGTGCCACTATCTAGTCACCACTTCTGGTTGTGCCATTATCTAGTCACCACTTCAGGATGTGCCACTATCCAGTCACCACTTCTGGTTGTGCCACTATCTAGTCACCACTTCAGGATGTGCCACTATCCAGTCACCACTTCTGGTTGTGCCATTATCTAGTCACCACTTCTAGTTGTGCCACTCTATCCAGTCACAAATTCTGGTTGTATACATTTAACAGTCATTGCTTAAATCTAGTTGTGCCACTGCCCAGTAACCATTAATCAGGTTGTGCCACTTTCCAGGCATCGCTAATCCGGTCACCCCACATTCAAGTCACCACTAACCTGGTTGTCCTACTATCCAGCCACCACTAATCTGGTTGTCCCATTATCCACTCACCACTAATCTAGTTGTCCCATATCCAGTCACCACTAATCTGGTTGTCCTACTATCCAGCCACCACTAATCTGGTTGTCCCATTATCCACTCACCACTAATCTAGTTGTCCCATATCCAGTCACCACTAATCTGGTTGTCTTACTATCCAGCCACCACTAATCTGGTTGTCCCATTATCCACTCACCACTAATTTGGTTGTCCCACTATCCAGCCATCGCTAATCTGATTGCCCTTAAGATTCAGAATAGAATTAAACAATGACACAGTCAAGGCTGGGGGCTGGAAGTTCAGCTATGACATTTTTATGCAACCCCTTGGCCAATATCAGGATATTTTTAAAAAAATTATCATTCCTAAAACAAAGCTGCATTTTAAACACACCAGTATGAAAGTATTTATTAACAGTTACTTTGAAATAATAATTAAATAAGTATTAATATAATACTTATAAATTTTATGTTAATGACCTTAGCAACTACACAACAACTGATACAAATACATATTGACTAGTTAGATGACCTGACCACATGTGGACTTTGTACAAGATTTACCAGCCAAAATATTTGCATTTGAAATCCAAAACCAGTGTCCTGTGTATTTGTTGCCAAATGCTATGTCCTGCACTAGAACATTTGCATGTTTGAAAGAGTCTGTTGGAAAGCTTCTAATTGACCCGGAAGTGACAGGTCTAAGGGGGATAACTTTGCACAGTGACGTAAATGAGAAGTAGATTAAAAAGAAAATTCAATTCAAACAGTTTTCAGTTTTAGTTTTTTTTTATGTTCAAAGTCATCACTCTAGTGTAGAAAATGGTTTGTTTAATTTTAATAACTAAAAATACTGATATTAATGACAAGCTGCCCTTTGACTGTCAGGTGACAAATGTAAACAAAACCATGCTAGCTCTGTCAAACAATACGATTATGGCATGTCCTCTAGAATTGGGTACACGCAAACTTTAGTCATGTTTTAATAACCAACAACAGCTTCAGCATCTTTAACTTTGTGCCCATAATGCAGAGAAACTCCATGTGAAAATGTTATACAGAACAGTAAACCATCCTGGCCTCTTAGCTAAGCCTGAGACTCGCAATAACTGGTCCAACGTTAAGCCTGAGACTCGCAATAACTGGTCCAACGTTAAGCCTGAGACTCCCATTAACTGGTCCAACGTTAAGCCTGAGACTCGCAATAACTGGTCCAACGTTAAGCCTGAGACTCGCAATAACTGGTCCAACGAGACTCGCAATAACTGGTCCAACGTTAAGCCTGAGACTCCCATTAAGTGGTCCAACGTTAATCCTGAGACTCGCAATAACTGGTCCAAAGTTAAGCCTGAGACTCGCAATAACTGGTCCAACGTTAAGCCTGAGACTCGCAATAACTGGTCCAACGTTAAGCCTGAGACTCGCAATAACTGGTCCAACGTTAAGCCTGAGACTCGCAATAACTGGTCCAACGTTAAGCCTGAGACTCGCAATAACTGGTCCAACGTTAAGCCTGAGACTCGCAATAACTGGTCCAACCTTATATAGTCATGTTATTCCCATGATTACTGTCAATTTAGTCTATATATGATTATTTGTACCACAATTAAAACTCAAATCAATGCGGTGACTTTACAGGAAAATTCGGAATGAAATCGACCAGACACGGAGAGGAAAGAGATTAACTATCGCCCACTACATCTAACAGACATTCTGACTTATGTCCTGTCTATATAAAGGGATGTGTCAGGTAGTAGTTTTTGACATTGTATGACATTTAACTTTGCATTTCAATACCTCAACCTCAATGATAGTTCCCAATGAACCCCTCAAAATCACATGACACATATCAAATACTACCTGTAACATGTAGGAGTATGTTGACATTTCCTGTGGTCATATCCAAACAGGTTTCTTACAAAAATAGATAAATACTTAGGAATAAGTACGTTGTGGCAAACAGACAGAGTGGTGGCCCTATTAGGCCTACTGTGTATCCAGTGTGCTGGAGGATTGTTTTTCAAATTAATTGGTGAACTAACAATAGATCAAATATGTTTCATTGTTAAAAGTATTGTTTGATAAAATCAACCAATTCTGTACAGAACATAGTGTTATATCTATACCAAGAGTCGTTTATAGAGTGTATCATGATATGACTATTGTGATAATATTTCAGCATTTCAACATTATCATGATAACAAGTTTGACTGGTTTTTACATTCACTTTCATTTTATAAACATACTTTACCATATTTTATCTAATCACATTTGAAATGTCGATGTTGTTTCTATGCAGCCATGCAGATGTTATATTTTTAACCATGAGAAATTGTTTTTTTAACAGAAAATGTTTCATCTTTTTTTATTTTACTCCTGTTTATCCTAATAGTATATCTTTTTTATGATATTTAAGCAGTTGAAATTTAGAATATTACAAATGTTCATCATTTATTGTTTATTATGTGATATTTTATTTTATACACATGAATAACTTTTGTTACCTTTGGTTATCATATTTTAACCAAAGAGAAAATTAAAGACATTGATATTGATTTTTTTGTCGAAGGGAGATAACTCAAACCAAAATTGAAGGGGAAAAAATAGTTCACTGACCCATTGATTTTATTTCATAGTAATTATCAGTAATTATCAGTAAAGAAAGGAATAGATGGTGATTAACACCATAAATCATCTCATAGTTTTATTTGGTGAAAAAAACCAACTGAGCTGCATAATACACTAAATACTGACCACCAGTTAGCCTGTAATAATAATTATATCTATTTATCCAGGGCTACATATTAAGACATGTCTAATTCACAATATGGCCCCGCAGTAATTTATATACAGATATCACAGAAAGATTTTACATTAATATCACTTAAAAGATAAATGACAAAGATTAAGATATAGCAAACGTATATATAAAATATTACATATTTATACTTACTAATATATATAATGACCCATACAGTTCTCATTATTATAGCATAATATATCACAGATATCACTAGAACAAATCTAAAATTTGGAGAAAAATGGACTGAAATTTCAAAAATCTTCTTATCACCCAAATAAAGTAGAATCAAATACCATTTATAGATGGAAGAGTCTTAAGGTAAAATACCTCTGTTCCTCTACAAATAGAATCTCATTTTCTCTTCTCTATACTGCACATTCATTAAGATTGTTTCCAATTTTGAGGTCACTCAAATCACCGTTTAGGGCCCTTGGTGTTATATTGTAGTGTTCCTTGTAAGGATGCGACCCCTGAAAACAAGGTAATGCCTTTACTCTCCTTGTTTACTTAACTATGGTATATAAAGACATTATCTGACACATTCAAAGTTTTCATATTTTTCCTGCTAGACTGCGTCCATAGTGTCTGACTGAATCAGCATTTGACATTTAAGCGGTGATTGTAAAAGGTTGGAATTGGTTTATCCAAATGAGATATTTTTTCCCAGTGACATCAGCTGGTATTGTAGTTCTATTGATGTAGCCAGTGGTGGCTGTGGGATTGTGTATTTTAGAGTGTCAGATGTAGTGTAGTTTATCGTGCCTGTTGAAAGTTTTCCTTATTTCATTGCATTTTCGAACCTTGTTCTTTCATTATTTCGTTACTATTTCGAGAGACAATGGTGAGAATGGTGTTATGTTTTCTTTTATGCTTGTCAGGTATATGTGTCTTTACAGCTCACTAGGTACATATATGTCTTTTCAGTTCATCACAATTAAACTAGCATTTGGCAAGGAATTCTAGACCACTTCCTCAGACATGCTGACTTTGAACTAAATAACACCTTGCTGTTAGGAAGTGTGATTTTTTAGGTAATGTTATGTGACACATGTTCTTTGTGTTGTCAACCATTAAGTTGATAGGAAGTGTTTTATAGAATGGATTTGATGGAAAACAGTGCTTTCTTCTTTGAAATACTGTAAAAGCATTCATTTTTGTGACGGATATTTTTTTCAATTTACAATATTCATATATCCATAAACGATTAAAATTTATAAAAGTTTTATTCATTTGTATTCATCCACAAAGAGTCCTCAAAAAAGTAGTTAGTGGAAAACCACAAAAATGGAGCCCCACAAAAATACGTATGTCTGGTTTGATATAATTGTCATTGTTGTGTGACAGACAATGTTGTGAGACAGTCAATGTTGTGTGATTGTCAATGTTGTGAGACAGTCAATGTTGTGAGACAGTCAATGTTGTGAGACAGTCAATGTTGTGTGACAGTCAATGTTATGAGACAGTCAATGTTGTGTGATTGTCAATGTTGTGAGACAGTCAATGTTGTGTGACAGTCAATGTTGTGAGACAGTCAATGTTGTGTGACAGTCAATGTTATGAGACAGTCAATGTTGTGTGATTGTCAATGTTGTGAGACAGTCAATGTTGTGTGACAGTCAATGTTGTGAGACAGTCAATGTTGTGTGATTGTCAATGTTGTGAGCCAGTCAATGTTGTGTGATTGTCAATGTTGTGAGACAGTCAATGTTGTGTGACAGTCAATGTAATGTGATTGTCAATGTTGTGAGACAGTCAATGTTGTGTAATTGTCAATGTTGTGTAATTGTCAATGTTGTGTGATTGTCAGTGTTGTGAGACAGTCAATGTTGTGAGACAGTCAATGTTGTGTGACAGTCAATGTTGTGTGATTGTCAATGTTGTGAGACAGTCAATGTTGTGTGACAGTCAATGTTGTGTAATTGTCAATGTTGTGTGATTGTCAATGTTGTGAGACAGTCAATGTTGTGTGATTGTCAATGTTGTGAGACAGTCAATGTTGTGTGACAGTCAATGTTGTGTGATTGTCAATGTTGTGAGACAGTCAATGTTGTGAGACAGTCAATGTTGTGTGACAGTCAATGTTGTGTGATTGTCAATGTTGTGAGACAGTTAATGTTGTGTGACAGTCAATGTTGTGTGATTGTCAATGTTGTGTGATTGTCAATGTTATGAGACTGTTGTCATTGTTGTGAGACAGTCAATGTTGTGAGACAGTCAGTGTTGTGAGACAGTCAATGTTATGAGACAGTCAATGTTGTGAGACAGTCAATGTTATGAGACAGTCAGTGTTGTGTGACAGTCAATGTTATGAGACTATTGTCAAAGTTATGAGACAGTCAATGTTATGAGACTGTTGTCATTGTTGTGGGACAATTGTCAGAGTTATGAGATTATAATTGTCGTTGGGTTGTGAGATTGTGCTGTTGGTTTGGTTTCATTCCCTGCCATTAATCTACAGTGTTTTGGTCATGAAGATGACATTGTATCATACTTCATATTTTACAGAACATGTTTTTGATATTTTGTTATTAAATCTAATTCTCTTTTAATCTTTCTTTTTAACACATTATTCAGGAAAATGTAAATTGTTTCTAAACAATATTTGCCAAGTTCAAGCAGATGATATTTTTGTTCCAATGATCACGATTTGTGTTTGGTTCAGAAAATGATAGGAAAACTACATATGAAAATGGATCCCTAGACAAATAGCTACTTTTTAGATTCCTGCTGTGGTTTTATTTTGATCATTTTGGCTAATCAAGTCAGTTGAATCAATTACTGAAACAGCTGAACACGTGCTCCCAGATGATGACATTGAAAAAAACGATATCATTGATCACATGACGACACCATGGAAACTAGAAACCTGATTATCTTGTTGTCTAACTGTTGTGAAACAACAATTTCACATGAAGGAATGACTCAGCATGGGCTAGACATGTAAAAATAGCTACTAATTTTATCACTTGTTACAATGATGTTCTAGGTGTGCTGATTTTTTGTCCAGACAGAAATGCTGTAGTGAAGGTGTTTGATGAGAGAGCTGACTGTAACTAAAGAGGACTGTGTCCAGTGATATGGAGTTAAGCTTCACGTTGATATCCTTTTGGTAAAAATCAGGCAGTCGTCACATGGCTGTCTGTTTGTCAGTCTGTCTATTCTGTACAATGCTTGTCCAGATTATATATTTTGATAGGATAAACTTTTTTTCCCCACAAATCTCCTTTTATAAATGTATCTCGTCTGATTGGTGTACTTAAATTGATTTGACCTGAATTTCTGTGATATAACTTAAGACAGTTGAAAAAAAAATTTTTTGAAACTGTCTTTGTAAATTTTTCAGTACTTGATAGATCATCATAAACAACTCCCTGCCTTTGACTGACAAGGATGTTGTATGCAGTGTATTTGGTTTGGTTTACTTCTATCTTAGTTTGAAGAATGAGCCAATTATGACTACAATCGCTGAATTTTTAGGCAGAATATAACCCAGGTAGGTTTCAGCCGATCAACCTTTATTCTGAGTAGTCTGTCTAAAAGTCAACAACAAACGTCAGTTAGAGTTATAAAGACTTCAGAAAATATATTTTAAAATAATATACAGTAAAACTTTGATGTGTCGAAGTTCAAGGGACCATCGAGAAAACTTCGATACATCGGGACTTTGACTCATGAATGGTGACCGTCCAACCACAAAAAATACACCTGTAAAAGATGTGTATTGTGTCCATTTGTGTTATATGCA